CTGTTGAGAACACACGCACTCACAAACTTGAGCACCGAGCGTGAGACCTAAAAGAGAAAAGACGATTTGCGTTGACCGAGAAAGGGAGAGTGAGATACAGAGAGAGGGGGTGGGGGAGAAAGAGAGAGAGAGAGAGAGAGAGAGAGAGAGAGAGAGAGAGAGAGAGAGAGAGAGAGAGAGAGGGAGGGAGGGGGGGGGGGGGAAGCAATGCCTCATTTTGAGGTAGAACCTTCCCTCTCCGACCTGTTCAAAAGTTGTTTCTGTTTTATAAACATTGGCACGGGAAATGTAGGCGAAGATCAAAACAGTGAGTCACTCTATGTTTTTCATCTTGCGTGCAAATATCCGAATCCTTTTGTTACACATGGTCTAAACAAGCCACATATACCCCTCCCCCTCACCCCTCACCCCTTACTCCCGCCCCGTTGCATCCGTCAATGTCTGCCCCCCTTTACTTATTGAAAAATTTCAAGGCTTACTAATCTGTGGTAACAGGTGTGCGGTTTTTGAGAATGAGTAAAAAGGAATTGTTTTTTTTAATAAAACAAAATTTAAAAAACAAAACGAAACAACCAAACATTGCGTTGCTTTTGATACACCTTGTTATTATTATCCTGGGTGTGCAACTGCTGTGTTGAACGCCTCCATCTTTTTACATGCGCTGTTTCTGCTCACATTTATTTGCTTTTTGACATTTGTTTTGTTATCTAAGCTTAGGTGTGATGTTACTTTTTCTCGGGGTCTGATATATTATTTTTAATTATACGACTGACTTGGGTCGGTTATCATTGGGGCGGTTAGTAGGTGCTCTGAGGAGAGCCATTCTTCCTTCTATTTCTGGGGGGTTTTTGGTGCTCTCATACATAAAATTAAATCTGTACTTTGCAAAAGCGGCTGTTATCGTGCTGTCTTGACTTGCAACGGTTTGTAACAACAACAACAACAAAAACAACAACAACAACAACTAGATCTACTACAACAACATTAATCAGAACAATAACAAAATACGAAACAGTGGAAGCTTCAACAGCGGCCTATTTCTCACACAGTATTTGTTTTATTTTAACGGTAATATGATTTCTAGGTGTCCAGTTTGAACTGGTTCAAACCGGAGTCTATGGTGCAGCGATTAGGAACTTAGCTGTAGCACGTAAGAGACCTGATTTCGATTCCCGAGTGGGTAACATTTTTATCCAGTGTATCTTTGCCGGGGTGTTGTATCTCTCCTAGCCTGGGTCGGCCCCTTTAGGTGGGGTCGGAAACCCGCCTCCTCCTCCATATCATCATTCCCTTTCTCTCCCTGAACCAAAGTATAGGCCACGGACAAACACTTTCCACCTTTCTCTATCCTGGGCTAGCCTCTTGATGTTATTCCTTGTCTTCTCTCTTTTCTGTAGGCCATACATCAATATCTATGATTCTTCTCCAGGCCCCACCCGGTCCGCCTCTTGATCCTTAACCCTGTGGATTCCAATCCAAAAGCCCGCCTCCTAAATGATCTAAATTCTTTCATGGGGGCGTAAAAAACACCTGCATATTAAATGGGGAAAAAGAACAGGCTGGGGTTTTTTTTTCTCCAGCAGTTGCAGACAGAGTTCTCTCAGTGTGGTCTGGCATGTAGCCTATTATTTCAGGTTACACAATAAACTGCGCTCTTGTCTCCAGCAAATACGCAATACATACAGGTATTTATAGTTTTACTTCTGAACACGGGTGATTGTGTGTGTGTGTGTGTGTGTGTGTGTGTGTGTGTGTGTGTGTGTATGTGTGTGTGTGAGAGTGTGTTTGTGTGTCTGTGTTTGTTCGTGTGTGTATGTGTGTGTTTTTAGGTGTATGTGTGTGTGTGTGTTTGTGTGTGCCTGCGTGTGTGTGTGTCTGCGTGCGAGTTTTTGTGTGTGTGTTTGTGTTTGTGTGTGTGGTGTGTATGTGTGTGTTTGTGTGTGTTTGTGTGCGTGTATGTGTGAGTTTGTATGTGTTTGTGTGTTTGTGTGTTTGAGTGTATGCGAGCCCGTGTGTGTGTGTGTGTGTATGTATGTGTGTGTGTGTATGTGTGTTGCTTTTTCTGTTCCCTCACTATTGTCTTGTATTTCTCTCCATTCCGGCTTCACTTTATCATTGAGCAGATTTTGATGATTAGAAACAAAAACCCCACGAAATATTTCAATAAGAATAACAAATATTTGATTGTATTCCAAAAATTATGTGCCTGGGGGGTGGGGGGTGTTTTGATTTTGATTTTTTTTCTCCGAGTTCTTTAGATTTTCTTTTTTTATTTCGTTTTTCGTTTTTTCCCTGTGTGTGTGTGTGTGTGTGTGTGTGTGTGTGTGTGTGTGTGTGTGTGTGTGTGTGTGTGTGTGTGTGTGTGTGTGTGTGTGTGTGTGTGTGTGTGCTGGAGGGGGGGGGGGTGCTATCTAGATACATAACATGTACTAATACAAAAATGAGCTGGCTGGGTTTCAAAAATTTTTTATTTTTGTTGTGCTTGATAATGATAGCGAGAGTGCATGCTCTGGTCGCCCTCGCTCAGTGCGAGACTGATAACAATCTTTCATCTATTCGTCACCTGACCGAGTATTGCGTCAAAACCACGTCGACAAGGGCCAGCAGGGCTAGCTTTGCTATCTTTGTCCCAAGTCATGACAAACTGAGCACTATCAGCCTATGGCGCATGTTCTACGTGCACGGTGTCAGAACTCATCCTCTTTTTTTTAATAAGCGCAGTGCCCGGCTGTGGAAAACAAGGCAGGAAAATGCACCTCTTTTGATCACTTTTGACATCATGGCACACTTGTAACCGCCCTCTCTCTCCCTCTCTCTTTCTCTCTTTCTCTCTTTCTCTCTCTCTCTCTCTCTCTCTCTCTCTCTCTCTCTCTCTCTCTCTCTCTCTCTCTCACCCTCTCTCTCCTTCTCTCTTTCTCTCTCCCTCCCTCTCTGACACACACACAACACTTTTTCACACATGAGTTCTTTGGTTAACACGAATTCACTCACAAGCGAACACGACTTCTTATCTCATTGTCTGCAATTCTGAACAGAAATTGTAGACAACTGTTTGACATGGATTCAATAAAACCACAGGGCGTTCAGGGCAGACACGACTTCCTGAGAATTGGGTCCACTTTGCGTCTTGAGAAGAGCTCAAGAGTCAGAACTGGCAACGTTTTGTTTCTTATAAGTTGTTTGTTGCTTTTAAAGTTGTTGTTAACATTTGTTTGTCTTGTTTTGGTTTCTTTTTTAAAAACAACTTTTTAGTGTCTGCGTGTGTGTGTAGGGGGGGTGTCGGGGTGTGTGTTTGTTTGCGAGAGAAAAATGTAGAGAGAGAGAGAGAGAGAGAGAGAGAGAGAGTGTGTGTGTGTGTGTGTGTGTGTGTGTGGTGTGTGTTTGTGTGTGTGTATGTGTGTATGCATGTATGTATGTATGTATGTATGTATGTCTGTCTGTCTGTCTGTCTGTCTGTCTGTCTGTCTGTCTGTCTGTCTGTCTGTGTATGTGTGTGTATGTGTGTATGTGTGTATGTCTGTCTGTCTGTCTGTCTGTCGGTCTGTCTGTCTGTGTGTGTTTGTGTGTATGTGTGTTTGTGTGTATGTGTGTATGTGTGTATGTGTGTATGTGTGTATGTGTCTGTATGTAAACAAATTTTGTAGATTGATATTGACCTCCTACCTTTCGGAGATTTCATTTGTTATACATGTAATAATGGTGAGAATTCTGTGTTAACAAACAGTTAAAACTTTACTTTTAAAAAGGTGTGCTTTTCTCGAATTTACGATTTGAAAAAACTATATCTATTTACAGCTTATGTTCAGTTGTATTTTAAAAGAGCAGCTTGAAAATGAAAGGATAATACAGGGCATTCCTGTTTGATGTAACGATATCAAGTACGATATACATGTATATAAAACAATTAGCTACTCGATGTTCTTTTGTTTTCGCAGAATTTTTGTTTATTTGTTTGCCTATTTTGAGGGATTTTAAAAATTAGTATTTCTTCTTTTGAAATGAGATATTATAAAAGTTTCGAGCAGTATGACGTGTCCCCTCATACAACAAAAATGTACATTCGAATTACAATCAAAAGTAACTGTCAAAAGAAAACACCCACCTACACGCCTTTTGAAACAGCAAACATTAACATTGTCGATTT